AGAGGTTTTAATAATTAGTTTTGTTTTTCAGGGTATAATTTCAGTACTGATAGTGTGGCGAGTACAAAGAATAAGATCCTAACCTACCATCGCATTGTGGAGGCATTTCGTTTTGCATATGCAAAGAGAACCACACTCGGGGATCCAAACTTCCTCAACATCACAGAAGTAAGTTCAAAGGCTGAAGAAAGCACAAGAAGAGTTTAGTTTTAATTTGGGATCATGCAGGGATTCAACCAGTAAAAGAAACTTCACCAGCTGTTCTTGCAGCAGGCGACCCTTTTCAGCTAATAATTAAATGCATGAAAATATATGCTTCTAAATGTACCAACACAGCAATAGGTTAGCTTCAAAAGTTAACATTATGCCACCACATTCATAGTAATTTACTCCTATGGCAACACAGAAATTAAAGTAAACATTTAGTACTTTAAGCAGAACATGTTTTAAACAAGGCTTACTATAAGGGAAAATACTGATTTCAAATGCTTTCTGTGATCACAAATGTGAATAATCAGAATCATCTTTATTGTCATCTCACCGAAGCACAACAAAATTATATTTCAGCACAGTCCGTCCAAGAAATCATAAATAAACAGACATGGGGAGACGGGGGTGTCTGAGGCCGTGGCCTTCGGGAGGCACTGCCCTTTTTTGTTTAAATAAGAAAAAGAGAAACATGAGGGGAGGAGAGGTATTAAAAAGAAAAATCATATCTCGCATTGTGTCCTACACGGGAAACAGCAACATACTGATGACATCATTTAATAATTTAATACATTTATGCATGAGGAGGCTGACAAAGGCAGTGAGTTGTCTGTGGACACTGCCAGATAGTTCCATAATCCTGATAAGAGATGGTGCAGTGTCTACCAGCTGGCTCAACTCTGACACAGATGACACAGAGCAGAGCTTCTTGTTCACATAACATCCAGGAGAGTTTGAGATAGTTGTCCAATTCAAGGCCAAGTGGCAGAGCCAAATTCAGATAACAATAATTATTTTGGATCAGGCCGACTCTGCTTAATTTCTGTCTGTCTTATAGTTCTACTGGTACGTCTTCATTGGTGACTCCAAACTGCTACGTTTTGTGGTCAATACCACCGGGCCAAGCTTATAGCTTCTCCAAGGTCGATTCCTTCCTGCCATCAAATTTCAGGAGCCATAAGTGGCCTGCGATTCTCAGAAATCGTCTCCAGCTTACGGCTCAGCTCACACAGCATCTGAGTCTGAGTGCTTATCGCTCGGCACATTCCTTCATGCCAGGCACCCTTACAATGGCCAGAACAGCTGTCGACATTTTCCACATTTGTCAATATGCCAGGTAACCACCAACTCCAAAAAGCAGAAATCCTTTTATCATAAATCCATTTACGTACACATC